TGTGTGTGTGTGTGTGTGTGTGTGTGTGTGTGTGTGTGTGTGTGTGTGTATTATATTTTTCCTGGTACAAAGCCAAAGGCAAGATTTCCATTTCCTGGTGAAATAGAGATGATAGTACTGACAGACTGAAGTTGGATTTCTAACATTGAGCCCTAAGAATAGACCTCTTTTTTTCTGCCCATGGTCTCCTTCACCATGGATCTCATTCCCTTCTCCACTGACAAGGAGTTCCAATTATTCACTTATCTACCTGGAGTTGCCAGAACCCCAGAAGTCACAAGAAACAGAAACAAATTCAGCAGAAGGAGGTCTTTTTATTGGAAAGTAGATGAGAGAGACAGATCCAGGTGTGGGCATCCTGAATGAGAGGAAGAAAGGTCAGTGGGGGAATGAGTAGATTTCCAAGGATCTAGGACCAGATGGTGGACTGCAGCCCTGGGGACTGGACAGATGTAGTGAGGACAAGCTCCACCTGGTGGAAGAGAAGAGAATCAGAAATGAGAATCAGCTTGTCAAAGCCCTCAGAGTCAGGTCACCCCTTCCATATCCCGGTTATAACCTCTGAGAACCCCTAATCTTCGGATCTTCCTGTTACATCCCTATATCCTCCCTTTCACCTATGTGGAATTGTTTCCCACTGCTCAGCCTTCTTCTGTCTTCAGGGATCCCCCTTTCCTTCCTCCAGCTAGTGCTCACCTCACAGGGGGACAACACAGATGCGTCCACAAGAGCCCACACAGCACTTCTTGGCCCCTGGGCACTCAGCATCACTCAAACAGTGGTTAGGAGGATTCATCATGGCACACCGGATCTGAATCTGAGGGCAGACACCAGGCTTGGTGGAAACTGGACCTTTGATTGGACCTTGTCCTTTGACTGGATCTTGACCTTTAATGGAAACTTTTCCTTTAACAGGATCTTGTCCACTGAACAGACCTTTGACATTGTCTTGACCTTTAACAGGAACTGTTGAAAGAAGAATGAGCTCACATTTAGACCAAGTAGGTTTGTTTCATTTACCATGTCTTTCCCTTAAGTCTAGTCATTGCTCACTGCAGCATCCCCAAACCACGACTTGAGGTGGGAGAGGTACACCCCAGGTAGCAGAGGTAAATGCACTCTCAGAAGTCTTTTCCCTTTTCTTTGAGGAAAGGGTCTACAGGGCCACAGTTTCCTTGAGTGTCTTTTTCCTCTCTCATTCTCCATTTCAATTCTCTCAGGAGCAGCAGTCAGACAGGGGTGACATGCAGGAGTGGCAAGGACACACTATCAATTCTGAGGAAACTTAAAGGAGGGAGAAAGAGCCCTAAGCCACATACCAGGCTACCTGAGTTCCATCCTGGCTCTGTGAGCTTCCTTTGAAATTCCTCACTCCTCTCTACATCTTAGTTCCCTCCTTATAAATGTGGGTCCTCACACAACATGATTTCTGAGACCTGTTGTGTCTTACTCTCCTTTTGTAGGATTGATTACTCAAGTGCCTTTATGGTGCAAACAAACAGAGGACAAGAGCCAGAATCCTGGGGCTAAACACTTTGTTGCACATTCTGCAGAGGTTTCTACACCTGAGGCCAAGGCCATGTGACAACACATTTTCCACAAACAGTCCTGATATCTCAATCACTGGGGTGAAAGCAGTGTACTCACTGGTTCACTTTCTGTTTTCTCTGCCTATGATGGAAACAGTCAGCAAATTCCAATTGTGGCTACTGCTCCAGATGTTAGCTCTTTCCTGCCAGGGGCCCCCCTGAGAGCCCCTTCTTAGTCCAACATAGCCTCAACAGGTTACCTGTCTACTCACCTCCTATGCCAGCTGCATCTGCAGCCAGAATCCCAAGGATGAGGAACACCACCAGGACAAAGAAGCTGCTGGTCCTCATGATGTCAGGAAGGTGTTTGACTAAGAGCCGAGGGCAAGTCTGGCTTTATGCATCCCCAGCTTGGCCTGGATCCAGGGATGGCACTGTGGCTTAACATGGTTTACCACAGGACATTTCCTTAGGTCTACCAGGAAATACCCACCACCATCCTGGGAGAGACCTTGGGGCTTTCCCATGGCTTATTCACAGGAAGAAGTAATAGATATTATGCCATGTCACCTCTGATAATGCCAACAGTTCTACTTTCTCACGGATAAGTAGTGCTAGCTCACTCTGAGACACCATGACAAACAAATTCTGTATTTTTAATGACAATGAGGCCCAAGTAGAGAAAGGAATCCTCTAAGGTCATTTAGCAAGTCACTGGAAGATCCGGTCTTGATTTTGAAACCAGGTTATTTTCCCATTAAGTCCTACTCCTCAAACTCCACCCAGACTTACTTTATTATCTTACCTCTCCCAGCATCAAAATGGGCTTTTCCTTCATTCTTTCCTAGTCCTGAGAAAAACCCTATAAAGTAAGTTTGCCTTGAGCATGTAATAATTATTGCACTTTTCCATTTCATAGACAGCCTTTGAGACGCAGGTAGAAAGTAATTGGAGGCTTGGCATGGTGGCTCAAGTCTGTAATCCCAGCACTTTGGGAGGCCAAGGTGAAGGGATTGCCTGAGCCCACAGGTTCGAGAACAGCCTGGGCAACTTGATGAGACCTCATCTCTACAATAAATTTTTAAAAATTAGCTAGGCATAGTAGCACGCACCTGTAGTTCCAGCTGCTTGGAAGGCTGAGGCAGAAGACTCGCTGGAGCCCAGGAGGTCGGCGCTGGGGTGGCCATAAGTGTGCCACTGCCTCAGCCTGGGCGATGGAGTGAGACTCCAACTCAAAAAAACAAAAAAGAAAGTAATTGGAAGGTGGAATTCTAGATTTGAAAGAAGATAGTGACCTTGAAATCACAGTGGCCAGGGAGAAAACACTCAGAAAAGTAAAGGGGAGAAAATGCAAATCATCTAAAGGTACATATCTATAGAATATATGTCCAGCATGCCATCCCCTTTCCTCAAACAGCATCTTGTTTTATCTGAGGAATTGTTTATTTGTACCATCAACTCATGAGTCTAATGGAGACTACTAGTCATGAAAGACTATCCCCTGGCCACAGGCAGGGATGTGTGTGTGTGTGTGTGTGTGTGTGTGTGTGTGTGTGTGTGTGTGTGTATGTGTTATGGCCTCATCTATTGATGTGACTTATTTGAATGAGCAATAAGGGAAAGAAAGAAGTTCTTCCTTTTGGTAAAGGTGGTACATATGAACTGGGAAATTCTAGAAGCTCTAGTCCCAATCTTGCGGTAGAGATTACCTGTTTCAGAAAATTGAACCTATTACACTGAGAAAAACAGAGAAGAGATGGTGAGAGAAGATTCTGATGACACCAGCCAGGCTTTTCTCCTTCACCTTGACAGCAACTCTTCCCATACCCTTCTCACAGTTGGGGTTACAAGGCAATACATTGATTTCTCTGCTTCAGCTTTTCTGATTTGGTATTCTTTCATTGCTACCAAAAGGGCTGAGTAATAGAAATGAATATCCAGAAGTTGGGTGTTGTCCGGGACAGAATCTGAGATTTGAACATCACTGAGTTGAGTGGGAGTGAGGCAAGAAGATAGCAAAATAAATATTGCTTAGTAATCCAGTCAATTAAATCTCTGCCCCTTATTTCTTCAGATTCAAATCACATGCCCACCAAGCCTGAAACTTGAAGGAAAAATAAATATCAGAATACGAAAATTGTTTAGCTACCTTACAAAAAGAAAAGGTCATTTCACAATAAACCATAGAAATAAGAAGTGTACAGAAAATACATATATTCTTTATAGGATAATCTTAAAAATTAACAATAGATAAAGAAGGAGAATATTTACTGTATTTATGGTCCGTGCTCCTCGCCAGTTGCTTCACTCTCCCTCCTCCCCAGAGATAAACACTTTACTGCACTTTATGACAATTAGTCCTTGCTTTTCTTTATAGCAAGTCTCTTTGACACGTCTGCCTGTATTCTGAACTACATATTCAATACTGTATATTTTTCAAATTTATGTAAATGAAAAATAAGTTATCCTTTTTATATAGCTTGCTAATTTTACTTGTTATGTTTCTGAGATTCATCCATTTTGAAGCAGACACTTGTAGTTCATTTTCACTGCTATATGTTATTTTATTTTATGAAAATACCAAAAATGGTATATATCCATTCTATTTTGGTTTTTTTTTTTTTTTGAGTTGGAGTCTCACTCCGTTGCCCAGACTGGAGTGCAGTGGCCGCTCCCAGCCACCGCAGCCTCGACCTGCTGGGCTCCAGCAATCCTTCCGCCTCAGCCTTCTGAGTAGCCAGAATTACAGGCGCGCACTACCACGTCCGGCTAATTTTTTGATTTATTGTAGAGATGAGGTCTCGCCTGCCCAGGCGGGTCTCGAACCCACGGGCTCAGGCAATTCACTCATCTCAGCCTCCCAAAGGCATGGGATTACAGGCTGAGCCACCGAGCCCGGCCCATTCTATTTTACATATCCATTGTACAGTTTTTAGTTTTTAGTTATTATAAATAATGTTGCTATAAAATTTTTATACATATCTTTTGAAGAATATAAGTATGCATTTCTTCTGGGTATAGAGTTAAGAATGAAATTGCTGGATCACAGAGTACAGATTATAAAGTATAGATACATTCAGCTATTGTAAGTACTGCAATCAACTTTCTAATATCATTGTACCAATTTACAGTACCACCAGCAATGTATGAGCATTCTGTTTGCTTCATAATCTTGCCAGTACATGGTATGGTTTGCCTTTTCATTAGCCATTCAGATGGAAATCGTGTTGGATTTTCTGTGATTTCAATTTGCACTTTCCTAATGACTGGTGATTGGGATCCATTTTTTAACATTTTTATTGTCTTTTTGACTATCTTCCTTTGTGAATTGCCTATTCAAGTATCCTATCCATTTTCAATAGGGATATCTGTCTTTTCTTATTGATTCATAGTAGAAAAAAATTCTTATTCATAATTAGTGAGAGTCTACATTTGTGCACTCTATTTGAAAAACAGTTTGGTGTCAGCTAGTAAAATTGAATATGTAAAGAATCTATGATCCAGCAATTACACCCTTAAAGATTTAATTAGGAAAACAATTTCCACATGTTTACCAAGAAACATCCGTAAGAATGTCTGCTGTTTCTAACAATAAAATAATAGAAAAAGTCCATATTACCAATAATAAGATATTGGATAAATGTGTTATGGCATATTAATATAAGAGCATATTATACATTTGTGAAAATAACTGAAATACAGCTGTGCACAATATGACTACAGTTAATATAAAATTGAGTAAATAATACAAGTCCCAACAGACAATATTTAGAATTAATTATACAATTGTTATAAAGCTCAAAATCAGGGAAAACTAAGGAATATGTTGCCTGGGCATAATTACATATGTAGCAAAACTTAAAAAGGAGTACATAAAAATTAGAAAACTATAACCATGAAATTCAGGATAGTGATAAAATCTTGAAGTGAGAAGTGAGAGAATGAAATATTCTGTATAGGTGAAAAGGACATGAATTGGTGCCAAGTTGTTGATTATTAGTAATGTTCTAATTCTTGGATTGCTGAGTGACACTGTGTGTGTGTGTGTGTGTGTGTGTGTGTGTGCATGTGAGTGTGTGTGTGTGTGTGTGTCTTAAAGTTGCATAGCAAATCATTTATGAATTACTTTAGCTTTCAATAAATACACGTTGCTGCACTCAAGTTGATTCCAGTTTTTTACTATTACAAACTATACCAGTTGTGACCCTTCATGGTTTTCTTTCTTGTGGGCCAGATTTCCAAGTAGATTTGCTAGTACAAAGGTGAAATGCATTTGAAATTTTGATAGTACTGTTATGTTTACTTTGATAGGGTTTGTACCACTTTGTACTCCCAACAGTAGTGAATAAAACTGCCTTTTTCTATCTAGCTTCATGAACAGAATGTCTAATTTTTAGTTTTATATCAATCTTATGGGTGAGAAATGATAACTTGCTGAAGTTTCTAATTCACATTTCTCTATCATGAATTACTTTAAGCATCTTTCTGCACTTTAAAGGTTACTATATTTTTTCTAAAAACTTTTAATTTCCTTTGCTCATTTTAAATTGATGTTAGTCTTTCTCTACTTAACTTAAAGAATATTAAATATAAGAGAAAAAAATTAGCTCATTTGATTTCATAAAAATGTTAAACTTCTGCCAGAATCATAAATGCACTGTGCTCTGGTGCAATTCAGATGAACTTTGGTTTTCACCACTTATTAGCTGCATGGCCTTGGTCAATTAAGCTCTTCAAATCAGCTCCATCTCAATTATAAGATCGTGATCTTGCTGGGTTTACCTATTTATTTCATCTGTTCTTTCTTCCTCTGTTCTTACTTTTCATTGTATTATTTTGGTATTAATTGAATATTTTCAGTATTACATCTTATTTCCTTTTTTTAAAATTTTGAGTCAGAGACTTGCTCTGTTGCCCAGGCTGAAGTGCAATGGCATGATCACAGCTCATTGCAACTTCTACCTTTCAAGGAGCTAGGACTACAGGTGCATGCCACTATGCCAGGCTAATTTTTGTATAAAGACAAGGTCTTGCTATGTTGCCTAGCTGATCTTGAACTTCTGGACTCAAACGATTCTCCTGCCTTGACCTCTCAAAGTGCTGGGATTACAGGCATAAGCCACCGTGCCTGGCCACGTTTCCTATTATTACTTATATTATTTTTTAATGTTTGCTCTAGGCATTCTTAATTTCTTACAATCTAATTAGAATTACTATTGTATGAGTTCATAAAAAATATAAGAATTTACAATATGACCTCACTTTTCATTCTTGTATATTGTTCATATATTTTACTTTTACATGTTATAACCCCTAAAATATAATTTTATTGTTTTGCTTTAAATAGTCAA